GACTAATGTGTCCTTCCGCTTGCAGGCCCTGTCCCTTTCTGTTACTGTTTGTGGGATCCATGGGGCAGAGACTTTCTAGGGAATTCCTGAACCTCTTCTTGCCCTTTTAAGCTTTGGGTCCTTTGTGGTCTGCTATCTCCTCTGAAGAATAAGTGCACTATTCTAGACTGAACATGTATTCACTAGGGTAGAGAAACTTGGCTATTTTCTCTGTGGTCATTTTATGCTGAAGACAGAATCAGTAGGCTAATGTGTTCAGTGTCTTTTTGCAGCCACAAGGAACACCATAATGTTGCTTTTTTGACTTGTAGGCTGAATGTGAAAATCACTGTATTTGGGCTCTTTATGCTTTGCAATTTGAAATATCTACTTAAACCTTTTAGGTGTTTGAACAGTTGAAGATCTGGGTAGCGTAATAGGAATGGTGGAACTTCTGTTCTGTGGACTGCAGTCTGTAAAGTTTACTGGGAATTAGCTCTGGCATCTGAACAGTCAAGGTGCATTTGAAATGTTTTTGATCTGTATAATTATAATCTCTACACTATCGGATAATATGTAAGCCAGCACAGCATTAAGGCCTTCGGATCAGGTACACATGACTCAGATTCTTTAACTAAAGTTACAGTGTGTAAAATATGAGACTCATAATATTATATTTGTAGCTGTAACTGCAAAACATGGCTTAGCACAGAATTTAAAATTGGTGAGTTTCACTCCTGGCTTTCTGTGGTGACTAGAAGGAAGGAATGGTTACAGAGAAGTTAAGAAAAATGGTGACTAGAGAAAAGCATTGCAGCACTGATTGATAATCTTTTCACATTGATTTTGACATGGGCTTCGAGCAGGGGTGGCCAAACAATAGCCCATATGCCAAATCTGGGCCAGTACCTGTTTATAGATAAAGTTTTCTTGGGCCATAGGTACACCCACTAGTTCGCATTATTGTCTATGGCTACTGTCACACAGTAACAGAAGAGTTGGGTAGTTGTGATGGAAACTGCATGGCCTACATGCCTAAAATACTTACAGTCTAGCCTTTTTAAAGGAAATTTTGTCAACCATTGAACTGTTATTCTTAACTCTTGCAGCTACGTAATGGACTGTAATAGGAAATTCTTAATTGCTAGAATTTACATCTTATTCCAGGTGACCATCTGCTTTGCACCGTGTGAGATCATGCACATGTCAAATCTTGCATGAGTACTTAAGTGGTGCTTCTGAAACTATCTGGAAGGGACTGTTGGTTTTATTTCTAGCCCATTACACATGTTTATGCTTTGTAAAATGTTACCAATTACTAAAAAAAGAAAAAAACACATAAAATAAGCTTAAATTTTATTAGATTTAACAGTCATAAATTTTTCTATAAAGTTTCTAGACACACACTTAGTTTCTGTACTTATTGCACACTGGAGATTGTTCGTGGACCAGCAACATCGGTCCATGGACCCACACTTACAAGCATTGCTTTGGGACAAATATTTTTCCTTGGACTTTAAGATTCTTTTCAGTGTACAAGTACTATATTATCACTATTAAAGCCAGTTAATGCAGGTAAATCAAAGTTCTCCTTGAGCAAACCCCAGTCCCAGTTGTGACCTGAGAGGCATTTACCTCTGCCAAGCTTTTCTCTATGTCTGTGCACAAGAAATAATTTCCCACTGTTTTCATATAAATTGTACAACATTTAATACTGTCAGTCTTTAACTGTTTCCAGTCTGGGCAAAAAAAAATAGTATCATCTTTTAGTTTTCATTTCCCCTTTTACTTTGAGGCATTGATATTTCTATGTTCAGGAATCATTTGCATGGCTTCTGTATTGCATAATTATAAGCCCTACTCAATTTCCTGGTGTCATTTTCTTACAGTTTTTGAAACTATTTTCTTCAGTTGTTCCTTTTACTTTGTGATGTAGGCAACATGTCTTTTGCTTTACACGCTTAACATCTAAACACCTTTTCTTACCCTAAATTATTATTTTGCCTTTTGTTCAGCTGTAAAAACCATTTACAATTATTTGTGCCTGGTCTGAGGTAGAAATCTCATAATATTAAAATTTTTGTTCAAATAAGTAACCCATTATACCAGCCATTTAAAAATCTCTTGATTTTCTCTTATTTTAAATACTCAGTTATTACAGATTAAATCCCTGTATATACTTTGTTTCTTGCCTGTCTGATCACTGATCTCTGTGCTTCTTTGCTGATACAATCAGCCCTCTGGATGCAGAGCACCGCTGGACCATTGCCACTTTATATAAGGGACTTGACAATGTGAGGATTTTGGTATTCTGGGGTTCCTGGAGCCAGTTCCCCTCAGGTATCAAGGGACAGCTGTGCCACACTTTGAAGGACAAGGTCCCCCTTGCCTTGTTCCTTTTCAGATTCTTTTGCTAATGTTTCCCAGGTCAGAGTTTGGCTTGATAAGCTCCATGAAAAGTACTGTTTTTGGACTGTAACTAGAATTGCATTGAATTCAAAGAGTAATTTGAAAGAGAGTTTTCCTATCCGAATTTTTCACCTCTTTTCCATTTATCCAGGCTTTGGTCTTCAGTAAATATCTCTCATAGCCTTGCTAACTTATTCTGTTGCCCATATCAGATTGCTTACTGATGACTGCTTAATTGCAGGAAGAAGAGAAAAGGTTATGAAGATGATGATTATGTTTCAAAGAAATCCAAACATGAGGAGGTATGGTCTCCAAAGGGAAAATGTAAATTACTGTTGTATAGTCTGGTACAACCATAATGTTAAGGTTTTATTGTTCTAGAGTACAAGCATTATAGAGACAGGTACTGGAAAGCTTTCTTTTGTATCCTTTATTAACCTTGGCCGTCATCGGAGGAATTTTTCTCACTTCTGTCTTGGCCTGTTCTGAAGTAGTACAACAGTTACTTGATGAAGAGTCCTTCCTAAGGTTATAGAAGGTAGTGGATATACTTCTTGATCTTCAAGGAGTCTTTTCCTACCCTTGTTTTAAGAGAATTGTACATGTCAAGTCAGATAAAAATGAATAATCAGACCCAGAACGTCACAACTGTAATGTTTGTTCCTGTCACTAGGCTAACCTGGTAAGACCACACCATATTATTATAAGGTTAAACTGCCACAAATTTTCCTGATTTATTTACCTTATAAATCAACATAGCAAAAGAACATTTTCCTAAAGAGAGGCAAGAAGGTAAACAATACTGGTTATGCTTCAGTATACTGTTATCCTTATGACATTTTCTTTCCTTCTTAGGAAGAATGGACTGACGATGACCTGGTAGATTCTCTCTAGCCATTTGAAATTGATTTGTCAATGCTAACTAATCATCAGACGGATGAAGCATGTCTGGCATTTAACTTTATTTGTGAAAGCATCAAAATATATTAAACTTTTCTATTTATGTTATTTAAAATTTTTTCCTTTCAGGGTAGCTTTATGTGAAATAAAACATCTTCAAAGGAGCCAGAGTAACACCAGGTTTGGGTAATCTTACCCCATCATGACTGATATCTAATTAAAGCTATAATTTGCCAATGTTGATTTATATAAAGTGTCATAATCTAACATCTGTTTATTAAAAAGATATCACAAAAAAAGCCAAACTTAGTATTTTTATAGGTGCTAAGGAATGTTGGTTGTTATAGCATTTAATTAGTTAACTGTAATCTTAGTTTCTAGAATTGGAACCAAATTACGATAGTCGGTCAGTTTTTTTGGCTAGAAAATGGGGTTAAAGAAATTCTTAGAAACTCAATTGTCCTGAATCTAAATTTTCCAGATACACACATCTCCTCACTGTCAGTGCATCCCAGGACACACCTTTCCATAATGTATAGGTGCCATTTCATTACATTTCAAATGCTGAAAGTAAAATTGACTCTATGCATACTCTTTAATAATTCTTTGTATTTCAGGCTTGAGCTTTTTGGTTTTAGTTTCCTTCTCACTGAGAAATGAGAGGAATAAAAGTCACTGAGTGTGACCGTGTGAAGGGGGAGAAGCCGAGACTGCCGACCCTCCGGGACAGTCCAGATGAAGTAGCAGTGCTCCAGGCTCTAGCCAGGAGGCACAGGGGCCGGGCCACAGTTACGTAGCGTGTTTCTCTCTCAGGTCACTAAAGCTTGGCATCAGGGCAAGGTCCGCATTTATCTCTGAAGATTTTCCTACCAAGCCCCTTAAGAAAAAAGTTCAGAGGTTTTATTTCATCATTGATCAGCTAAGTGACATAAGTCCTACAAAGGTAATAACAAATCTTTTATTCCAGTTTTAAGAGAGAAGTATGTCATTAAAATATGAAAAGCAGGGTATCTACGTTTGTGGGTTTGTTTGGGTTTTTTTAATAACTAAAAGGCAGGAGTAGTAGAGATCAGGAAAGGGCAGATAGGTTAGTGTGGTTAAAACTGAGGTGTGAGTAGAAGGAGAGAACCAAATTGCCAAGCACTCTAATCTGGACCTTTTTATTTCCAAAATGTTTTCAGAGATGTCACTAGTCTGTATCCCTTCTAGTATCCTAGAACACCACAGGAGGCCAAATGGCATACCATTGCCTAGCTGAAAAGAAAGGAACACAGGCTATGCTGAGTATTTTGGTATCCCTGTTCAACTTGTAAAATTGCAGCTACTTTAGGGCTAGTTACCTCCATACAAGTAACAGCATTTAATATTAATGCTTAAAATACAGGAAGAAATATTGTCGCTGTTAGAACGTAGGCCTTCAGAAAATTTTTACTTATTGTGGGAAATGGCTTTTCTCAATACGTTCTTGTTTAGAACCACCTTCTATGTATGCCTTGTCTCCCCTGGACAATTATGGGAGGGAGAGAATTGTTAACAAATACATAATGAATTAATAAAACCCTTCAAGAGACCCTTAGCCAGGAAAAAAAAAAAAACAAAGCTGAAATTTCATCTTTTCCCTGAGCCTTGCTCTGGTACTAAATTTTGAGCTGCCCCTAAAGGAGGAAGAAAATAATGAAATTAAATGTTTAGCTGTATTTAGACAGAAGTAATCAATTTTAAGATATCCCTTGGTTTTATTTTAACTTAACCCTGTGAATAATTCACAAAAATACACATACAGAAGCAAATAAAACTATACAGTCAAACTAAATATCCAGCAGATACAACAAGTAGTCAGAAGGTCAAAGATGTTTGATAGTTGTTCAGTGGCTGATGAAATTGTTCGCATAATTTAAAAAATCAACTTGGAATTAATGAATATATTCAACGGAAGTATTCTAGGTTTTTTTCTTTTTAACATACAAAAGAAATTGGTCATTTATAAATGGTTGAATGGGTAACATGCATTGATCAGTACACAATGACCAATAATATTTATTGAATTCAAACTATTTACTGTTGTAAACATTAAACAAAAGCATGAGATCTAAATACAGTCTTTGACAATTCCAACAAAATAAGTGGTACGTTTAAAAAATAAAGCTGATGAGCAATAGATTCACTCTATATATTTTCTTTCAACAGTTCCAGCAGAGATAGTACAGTTATTTTAAAAAAGTATACAGCAAGGATTGTTCCTATTGTAATGGCAAATTCTGGAAACTGTAAATACAAATAAAGTCATTGAACAGTCAGACGGTCATATTCCTAATTCAGGAAGAAGTAACAGTAAGAACAGTCTGCAATCCAGTTATACTCAATTGTCAACAGAGAATGCTTTTTCATAGTTCTTTTCTCAAGAAACAGCAAAACTTTGGCAATTGAATGTATTGAAAATATATTTTCAAAGTTCAAGATACAGTCATAACATTGTGTGAAAGGTGATCTGTACACCAAGGCTCAGAGGTTGGTAAAGATAGCTTACAAAGCTGCTGGAGCAGCTACCAGCAGAATCTCGAGTTCTGTTTGCATAGCTCACACATCACTGGAATGTGGAAAGGTGTGCTATTTTTTTGGCAAGAGCAAAGGAGACATTATACTGATGTGATTTACCATTTTGGGCATGCTGAATCCATGCAGAACACTGCGGCGAAGGCTGCTACCTGACGTCGTTAGTTTTTGTGTACTGGTTTTGTTTTTGCTGAAGCAGTTCTGTTATAGCCAGAAGCTTTTTCAGTACATGCTAGACAAGGAAAAACAAAATAATTAGTAAATGAATAAAAGCTCTGTCAAATCCCAGGGATGGGAAACCTGGACTTGAGAAATACCATATGAACTCAAAGGGATTCATAAAATAATATTACCATTCTACTCAAAAAAAGCATACAATTTTAAGTATGTATTACTCAGTCCTTGATTGAATATTTCTGGTCATGTTATTTTGGTTAAGATACAATTTTTTACTCACTAAACACATTTCTGTTGGGCATTCTCATATCTACTTAGGCCTCAATAATCTCTAGGATAGAACATCTTACCAGAAGACAGATTTATCATTATAAATGACACACATCAAGCCCTGTAAGAGCACATGAGGGCAATCCGGCTACAGGCTAATGAATGCTGTAATCATGAAAAGAAAGACAACATTGGGCCAAAAATTAAATCATTCAGCTCCTTTATCTTTCTTAGAAAGTCTTAATTGAGCCAAATTCTCCAAAAAAATAATTTTTTTTTTTTTAAAAAAAATATTTAAGGCAAGCCATATAATAAACCCAGCTCCAGTGTAGCAGGAAGGCAATTTACATGCCAAGGGCATGTAAGTAGGTCTATGGCACATATTCTGCCTAAGTTTCTAAAGTGATTGGAACCTAAGTGAATCATGCTATTATCTAAACTGGGAAGAAACAAGAATTGTAGAATCTCAGATTGAGGAGAACTCAGAATCACTGAATTCAATATGTTAATCTCTCCTATAAGGTCCCTGCCAAATGTTGGCCACTGGTGACAGTGTTTAGTTTTTAAGGCCATGTTCCAGAATCTCTGGATCTTGAAATGTTTTTATCAATCTTAAAACACATGCATAATTCTCATGTGTTTGACAGTTTGCAAAGTTACCTGGCCATGCACGAGGTGTGTGTGTGTGAGAGAGAAGCAGACAGAAAAACACTACATCACTACTGACTGAGCGTTAGCTCACTTACCACTTCCATACACGCTACAAAGGGTATAAACACCACCGTTTTTTCAAGTAGAGTTCATATTAACTTAGAAGCAAGGTTTGACATTTTGTGGCATCAAAAATATGTAATCTTAATCTGGGCTCATCATTCTTGTTTGCTGAGATCTTTGTGGATTTTGATTCAGAGTCTTAAAATTTTAATATAATTAATAAAGTAAGACTAATCCAGCTATTTATCAGCTCTCAAAGAATCTTATGCTGATATTGTGCTTACATGTAGAGAAATAGCACTGTTAACAAAGGCTGGCAAAAACCTACCTGTTGTGCACCACGCTCATTACTGAGCGTCCGCAGTTCATCTGAATGGGCCACACAAATCTCATGCAGTGCTGCTAAATCACGGGAAAGGTCAGTTCTAGAATGCTCTGTAGTGTCCGGAAGTTCAGGTACATTCTTTAAGGGAATCATAAAACTGTGTTTAGAAATAACGACTAGTATCTCTTCTGAAAAGATCTTAACTGGTACAATAAATAAAATTTAATACATAATAATCTCTTACAATTCAACTTGATAGATTTTATGACCTCAACATTCACACAAAAATCAGGTTGCATTTTCTTCAATCACATGACAAAACATCGTGCAGTATTCCTGCTATTGTAAGCAAATGGTTTTTCTAATTTTTTTTAAAACTATGGAGGTTTTTTTTTTTTTTTTTAAGAAAAAAAAATGGAGGGCAAATTATGCAAGCATTAACTCTTTAATATGGATTAAAGGCAACCCAAACTTAAAATTCCTACACTCTTTCAGACTGACTTTAATGATTAAACTGGTATAGTTTGTCCAAACTCATCAGCACATACAAAGGCTACATTACAAGTGTTAATGAGAGCCGTTCAGGTCTATAATTATCTGTGGACTATGCCACAAACACATAACTAATATATAGAAATCAGTGTTAATTATCTTCAGATAAGTTTCATAAAGTAACTTAGTGTCAATACAGTACTACCAACCTGTTATACTGAATACTGATTTTACTTTGTTTCAAGTTCCACTACTTTGTTAAAGCAGCTAAAGCAGCAACAGACTGGCAGAGTGGTGAGGTGGGCAGCTAAGAAGATAATGAAAGACAAGACAGAAACTGAAAAATGACACAAGAAATCCAAAAGCCACAATACTGTATTCTTGGTAAAAACTACTTATCATAAATGATTATAATTATAATCAAATGAAATAATTTGTTTAGGAAGGTAGACAAAAATATGCAGCTTTTGAATTTTTTTTTCAGTTCTGGATAGAAAAGCTTTTAGGTGTCAAAATACTTAAAAAATTATATACATACCCCTAGTTCATCTAAAAACATGATCATGCGATGTTTATTACTTTTGATGAATGGATTGACACCTTCCATGTAAGGCTCCTAAAAATAGAAAAATACAAATCTAACTATATGGATGAAAAGCATCTGATCTGTAACAAAAACCATACATATAGTAAAGATTCTTATAAATCATATTATCAGTACCAGAACATATTTGTAAGAATTTAATCATAAAATGACTTTTCCTTCTAATATAAGCAAGCAGCTATTCTAAGGAATAGAGGTATATTTTTAATGAGCAAATTCTGGATGAAAACAAAATTCGCATACACAGCCTAGCAGAAACAAACTGTTTATATGGAGGTCATTCAGAAATAATTACTGACTGAGAAACTACTTGGCAAGTACCCAGAGGTGATTAGAATCTAGCAGAGAATATAATGAATTAAAATACAGTATGATAAGGACTACAGTAAAAAATTAGTACTCATAACCTGCCTTGGAATTCAGGTACATTAAAAAGCTAAGTCAGACTACAAACTGCTTCTTTCTACAGTCTTAAACCTATTCTAAAACATGCTGTGTTACAAGTTCAGTATTAACACAAGCTCTTTTAAATTCAGTAAGGTGAGATAAGGACCTAGACATGAAAAATCATATAGTCTAATAAAAGTGATGAAATAAGGAAACACAAAGTAGTATGCCTATCAGATTGTCAAAAATAAACGTGTAATAATAGCTGAGTTTTGGCAAGGCTGAGAGGAGCAAAAAGTCTTCTTACTTAGTAATTCTGCTCCAAAGTTCATTTAAAGAAATAACTGGACAAGTTTGAAAGGAATTGTGTGTGTGTGTGTGTTTATCTCTAAGGATATAAGGTACAGTGACAAACTGGAAGTCATCTAAGTATCCAGTAGAAGACTACTTAACATTTACATGATGGCATTAAATAAGGATTAAAAAAAATAATTATATATTTTCAGATACAACAAGAAGTTTAATAATGACAAAAGCAGGTAATATACTAACAGTCAGTTGTCCTTAGTAGGATCACATACTCATCTAAATTTTAATATTACAGAGAATGTTTAGCATGTAATACATAACAAATCAACTGGGGTACATTTTAAAATATGTTAATTGATTTTTATATTTAAAAATGGAAGACTGGTTATTCTGGAAATTATACTGAAAAAAGTTTTCTATACTAGCTAAAACAGTGGTTTTAAAAATTCTGTTATTAAAATCTAAAAACATTAAATATGTGAACATACCAACAAAATCAAAAATTATCCTTATGAAATATCCACTGTTTAAAATTTACATATATTTTATGGTTTTACTGTGTTGAGGTTTCACTCAAAAATGACATTTTAATGTATCAAAATGTTTTTACCTTAGCTCCAAATTCCACAAGATTTGCTAAGTTCTGCACAGACTTAGCCACTAATGTCAGTGTTCTTGCAGCAATAGGAGATGGGGAATCTATAAGAGAATTGGGCACAGCTAATGACACCAACTCCAAAGGTACTTCTAGGTAAACCATTATAAATTCAGCACTTTAATATTTCTTTACAGTTAAAAATACTAACATTCTTCCATTCAGAATGCAGTGTTTTTTGGCAAGTGTATGACCTGTATGAATCAAAAGAGCTTGATTTAAAGAAGGGAAACCAAACACACTTATCGGCACTTGTAGTTTGTGAAAAGGCCACTACAAGGCTCAGCAGTTCCCAACTGGCTGATAGTATCACAAAGTACCTCAAACCTCTATCACTGCGAAGCCGGTCACTCCACAGGACCTTGGGGACAGTTCACAGATTGTGAATTTCAACCACCCAGGTTGTCAATTTGCAACATCAACAGTTTCCTGCTCCCAGCCTCCACTCAGTCAAGTAATTCACTTTAAAGCTCAATAACAAAGTCTGGAATCTCTGCTTTATTTTGAGAAGAAAAACATATAATTTATTAATTTTTATAAGTTTCTTTAAAGGTTAATCAGGAAATACTGCCCTATATTGACAGTAGGCTATAAATGAAAAATATTTGTCTATTAATTTTAAGCTCTGAAATGTGATTATTTTATAGTAAAAGCCTACAGGCTGCCTGATTTTAAATTGTATTCTTTTTATCTTAAGCTGCTAAACAATAAATAATATTGCCTAGGGGTTCAGAGTCCAACATTCAGATAAACACATCTCTCCAAAAGAATTCTAAACCCTTAATAGACCCAAAGATTTAACCATTTTAGCAGCAACAAAGTATTTACAGAGATATGATGGCTATAAAGGTAAAATTTAACAAAAATGTTTAATACAGTTTTAAGCTTCAAATTATTAAGACAAATGCTTCAGATTCCTTCTGCTAATAATTGCTTATGATTACATTTATAGTCACAAATATCATTCTTTTCCTTTATTTGAAAAGTCTACTACAACATCAGAAAGTCAGTCCATAATGGGCATATTAGTAATATGCAAAACCGAATCTGGTTTGTTGGAGTTTAAAATTTCAATTATCATCATGTATTTCATGACAAGAAAGCTCTACTGGGAAATCTCAAGGGACTCCTTCGTAAGTACTCGCAGAGCACTACTACAGTTGCAGCTACAGTTTTAAAACCCAGCTTGCAGTGGTGGTGACAAGATTCTATCCTGAGCTAAAAGCACACAGAGAGCTCTTCTTCCCAGCCTGAAAAAGCCAATACTGCAGACTGGAAGAAGTCCTAGGACTTTGAGACACAGGTGGGGACAGGCTGGAAAATGGGATGTGTCTGCTTATGCCATTTCAGGCTTCAGATGGTAGTGGGAAAAAAGCAAGATGGAAAGAAAAGGTAAAACAGCAAAAACAAGTCAGGTGCTTGTTTATACCAAGTCTTAGAAGAAAATAATTAAAAAATCAGATTTAAAAGAAAAAATGAATAACCTCACTGAAGAGTATGAAACTTTTTTTTAATTTCAAAATTTATTACCTGAGATGATATTAAACATCCGTGGATTCAGGATGGCAGGACAGATAAGTCGAAGAAAAACAAAACCACTGAATGGGAGGGAAATTTTGTTATTTTAGAAAACTAATGTGTTACATTAAAATAATAAAAATTTTAATAGCTGTAGAGCTATGAACTTTGAACTAATGTAGGGCTGACCAAATATACAACTTTATGAAAATAATAAAACTATTTTAAGAACATATGTATATATTCTGCTTCTTAAACATACGTACTTACCTCATTTAGAATTTTAGGTTTACTTTGGGAAGATTTAAGTTATATCTAAAATTCACTGTTTATCTCAGGCCAACAGTGCATTTTATACTTACTTTGAGGAAGGAGTGTCCTTAGGAACACTAGGAATTTCTAAAATATTGTAGGAATACAAGTAAACCTTTTCAATAGATACATAGTTCTGTAAAGGTCTTAAAATTGACGTTCTCTCACTTCTCTCTACTCTTTCTTAGAACAGACTACTATAAACCAAGTCCGTTATACTGACTTTGTTCACTTATTATTATGAAAAAATTTAAGTATCCATTGTACTAGGCGAAAAGTGACTTCTTAATAAATGACAAACATAATGTTGAAAAGCCTTTAAGGCAATGGGGGAAAAGACCAGGCTTTCTAAAGTTAAAAAAAATTCTCAGATTACAAAATATTAATAGCAAAACAAAACTTACTATAAATGCACATTTAACAACAGTTGTCATATGATTTTACTTGCTAATCTTACTTACTCTGGGAACAAAGTACATCTACAAGTGTATATTGCTAGTCCGCCCCCTTCGGTTACTGGTATAGTCCTCATTTAGATAATATTTCTCTAACTTACTCTTAAAGAGGGATCCACACTCATAACTGACCTCTCACCTGCCCTTGGAAAGACAAGCATTATTTCCAAGTTGATAAAATTCTTTTTATAAATTAAAATAATTGACACAGTCTCTTTTCTCTATTATAGTGAATAACCCAACTTCTCAGCATTCACCTCCCAACAATGTTGTTTGCTAATTTTGGGAAATCTTGGAATATGTTGATTCTCAGACAGCATATTAAATCTTCAGATGTCTTTTAATTTATGAGGAAATCTGCCTAAGTTTTACTTGAAGATTTTGCTGTCTTTCCCTTTGAAACTGAAATATAACCTGACCACACTAAGTCATACAAGAAGTTCAGTGTGCAGATCTACTTTCTGTGAGTTCTTAAAGGTAACTTTAAATATAAGAGGTGTACTAGGTATCTACATGTATATTTAAAAACTTAACTAGGGGCAGAAGTCACCACCTAGGCCATGCCCCTTAAAATACCCTGTCATATCAAACCACATAGCAGAACTTCCAGCTGTTTGCTTAACAAACATACTTATATGAAACTTACAGACCAGTTTTCATTTGTATCACACACAACTGTGCTGAAACATATGCTTGTAATTCTTTTCTATTCCTCTCAATCTCTACTAAAGCCAAAAAATGTAAAATTGACAATTCTTAGATATTTGTCATATCATTAGTAATCAAGAGATTTTATCTGTAAAATGAGATATCTCTACAAATATAGTTTGGGGACAGGATTAATGCACATTTTCAAAACTAACTCTGTGATACTGGTGTCTTCAGCAGTTGCCCAGTTGTGTGTTGGTTTTTTTTTAATGGTCTGTAACATGATGGGCAGCATAAATCCTATATGATAAATTTTATTATCATTAGACTGCTGAATTCTCTGATGCTTTTGCAATAATTTTCCTACAGTCTTGAATAGGTTGTGGTGTGCTTAATAAAACCTTTCAGATGTTAAGGATTTTAGACTGGGTCTTAGACATTTTGCCTTTGGTTCTGCCTCGGCCACTATCTATCTATATGACCTTAAGCAAATTCAGCATCTACAGATCTCCTTCCTCATTGCAGAAGTTACAATAATACCAAAGTCATCCTACATAAGCTACAAAATGCTATGACTTGACAGAGCAATTCCTTCTAATTACTGCACAACTAACACACTGAGACAGCTTCAGAACTACAGACTCTGGCAGGAGACGAGCACCAAGACACAGAGAGTTACAAACCAATTCATCAATATCCGTGTGGTTCAATTATTGCTTTTCCTAGAGACACATCAACTCATTGTAGTCTGCCCCCTCCCTCCTCTTCTATCTGTTTCCTTTTCTATGTATGTATACACACATAATGGGCTTCCCCGGTGGCGCTGCAGTAGACTCTGCCTCCCAATGCAGGAGACTCAGTTAGATCTTGGGCCAGGAAGATCCCCTGGAGAAGGAAATGGCAACCCACTCCAGTATTCTTGCCTGGAGAATCCTATGGAGAGCAGCCTGGCAGGCTACAGTCCATGGGTTTGCAAAAAGTTGGACATGATTCAGTGACTAAACAACAACAATACACATATATGCATGAATGTATATGTGTGTATATGAAGGGTACTATATGACATTAGCTACATATTTTTGTTGGTTATATAACTTTTAACCTCATTCTATATGGTTTAAAAACAAACAAAAAAAGACCTTCCCAAATAGTTGACTATCAGTGACTGTTCAGGTTTTTAGAAAATGCAAAATGGTAGCTAGCTAAGTATTTCATAGTAACTTAAAAAAAAAAACAACAGTAAGTTAAAGTTTAGGAGCTATCTGAATTTAGAAAATATTCAACAGAGCCTGACATAAAATTCAAAGAAAAAGGTCTTTAATTATATACTATATACTGTTAGTCTTCACATTTCCACACTTATCCACTTGACTATTGATGCAGGCTATTAAAATGATTTAACAAATCAATTAATAAGCCTTACCTAACAACTCTTGTTCTCATGGTGGTATTTGTAGGCCACTTGTGCTGAACAGATTTCTGTAAACACCCATAAATATACCTCAGTGTCCTGCCAAAATAACACAATCATCTCAATACAGAAAGCAAGTGAAAATACTGATCTCATTGCAGTCTAAAGTTCATGACATTTTTAAATGCAACTAGCCTTTTTCCCAAAAAAACATACTCTGCTACAAGTAATGATATTTAGCAAAGGATAAGGGAAACTTAGATTTTTGTCAATTCATTTAGCCAACTCTTTATATCTACTATGGAGGAAATCCTACCATTTTCAAACTACTTCTATATTAATGAAAAGAATGAAAAGATACTACAATGGAGGCAGATTTTAATGTAAGTTAACTTCTGCCTGAATAAGTCAATTCACTAACACTGGAAGCCACTAAGCAGATACCGAGTAATTATCCTGTGTACATACTGAGGAAGATATTAAACTATAGATGGGAGAGGTACATATGTTTCATGATCTCAAACCTGAGACTGTAAGCTTCTATTCATTCCTCAAGTTACTAGATAAACCAGACATACTGGCTGTATAAAAACATGATTTATTTTAATGCAAATATTTCACTTTGGTTTCTTCAAGTCACTTTTTCCTTAAACACAATTCATCGTGTAAAGATTAAAAACTCTACTTTCTTCAAAGTATAACATCAGGATAGTGAAAAAGCTTACACATGTTTTTAGAAATACAGATTTTAAAAAGGCAATATACAATCTTATCAAATTAAAATTTCACCACTTACGGTGGAAGTATTTCTGAAGCCATGAATATTTTCTCCACAAGCTCTGAAAGTATGTTCAATAGGTGTGCTAAATTAGTGTTCACATCTTCATTTTTTTCTAACTTTGATGGACTTAACTGAGAGAAGGAATAAATCAATATAAACGCATCTTGGCAATAATAAATGCAAATGAATCAAGGTAATCAAACAGTTGTTTGCAAAGTTCTCTATTTTTCCATTCAATCTGTATTAGTCTTTTGGTGTTGGTGGTGGGGCTAAATGGGAATTTCAAGTAGTTTATCTCTATGGAACTCTTAATGGGTTTATTACTGTTAATTCCCAACTACTCAACTGAAGAGCAAGCAATGATTATTCAACAATTTTCAGCTGCCTTGGGGTTAATACTAATCAATAAAATTTTCTTTTATTCATTTAGCACATTTTACCATAGACTTTACAGGCACACAAAACTGTATTAGACTTTATTTTAAACATAATACTCCCAACTACAACACAAAAACCCCATTTAAGTGGCCACATATTCATAGATATATTGGAGTATTTAATTGGGAAGAAAGATCACCGTATATAATTATAAAACCTATCTTAATTCTAAATTTATGTGAGGAAAAAATTAATTAAAATAGAAAAGTTTTTATGAATAAGACTTTTTAAATGACTGATAAAATACCAGATGCCTCAGTGGCAGCATCATGAACTTTCCAGTAACTTTTGATATGTAAGAATTCTTGTCTAGAATCAATGGAGTAGATGTATCTATGGGAATCTAAATACCTTAGCCTGGATTCAACATCCAGAGACTTTCTGCAGACTTGCTGCATTTCTGTATCCTTTATACTTATGCTAACTATGGTGTTAACCCCAGGTCTGCAATACTATATTATCAATTTGTTCTCTTTGAGTTAATAAGTAAAAATTGACAATTTAATGCAGAATGAACATCTCGACTGATCCCAGTGTACATTATCAAAGCAATTCCTTTATTCTGTATCAGATCTAAAAAATATTATCCTTCTGTAGTTGCTCTACCTTCAAAATAAAATGATAAAATAGTCACATAAATAAGATTCTACTCTCTTTCTTAATGGTTTGTTATGAGTTTACGTTACTGACCCTGGGATCAAACCCAGGTCTCCTGCACTGCAGGCAGATTCTTTACCATCTGAGCCACCAGGGGAGCCTGAAGCCTTTAATAATTAATCCTAAAAGGATGTTTTTATTTGCTTGTAAGGGGATACCTCTGATGCTCCTACTACCCTGCTCCCTGCCACCCAAAAAAAAAAAAAAAACCCTAAGGACAAACCTAGATATTATTTAGAACTTAGACAACAGAAATCTCTTAACAAAAACTTCAGTTTATGTTATGGACACTTTTGAAAGTAGTATATACTTTATAACAAAAGTACTTTCATGTATTTCTGGCACAATTTGAAGTTTTTAATCCCCAAATAAAGTATATCTTTTTGAAGTCTGTTTTGCATAGCATTTTTCTAATTGTATTACAAAAGGTATAACTGCTCTGATGGAACAGTTTTAGACAGCTAATACATTTTCCTTAAAGTTAGCTATAAAGTATTACCTATTAAAATATGCTCTTTCATGAAATACAACATTACTCACCTCACAAGACTGCTTGCTTTCCATTATCTTTAAGATAGAGTCTTTCAAAGCGTGATGAACAAATTGTGTAGCAGTGGCTTTCATATACTGCTCCATCAAGGTGCTCGCAAGTGTTGTGGCTCGAAATAGGGTAGTGGCTTCATCTACATAGATATTTAATATTAAAAAATTATTTGTAAAGGATTGTACTATTGTGAATCAAATTGGAAATTGTTTTCCTTAACCAATTATAGCCATTTAAGCATATTTATCTGCATGCAGCATTACTGAATATAATGATGTCCTGTATTTCTATAAACTTAACTCTTCAAAAGACTTCTATTACTTCATAAGATCATAAACAGAAGGGATTCACACTGCCATGTTCATATAAACACACAGAGGCTTCCGACAGTTATATGGCTTGTCACTAGGACTAAAGAGCCAGATAGTGACAAAACTAGGACCAGAATCCACTTGCTTTCCACTGGGCCCACACTGGAAAATATGAGTTGACTCCAAACAAGCATGTAACACAATCCCAGCATAGACTGACAGTAGTCTAACACAGCCATTAATAACTTTTAATAGAATTCCAGAAAACACAAATACTGAAAGAAAGTAATCTCAGGATAAAATATGTACTGCCACCTTACATTTTTGTATTTTCTAGGAGGAGGAGGAAATAGTTCTAGATTCTACAGTTTATTAATACCTGGGGAACATAGAAGCAAGTATTGTGTGAGTCAAAGTGCTGGTTGGAAATGAGTTATTCTGACCTATTTACAGGTGGTTACAAAGTACAATGTGTCCAGTTGCCTAGAAACTACCTATCTATATAGATGCTAGAAATAAAATACAGCTGACATCCAACTTTTGTGCAGTGAATTTATAAGCAAAAAAAAAAAACGAGATCATAGTAAGCATACCAAACTATTCTTAATAATTAGACGCACTATGAATCAATGATTTGGACATGGAAGTCACTCTTATTGCTTCTAATACTAATTTGCCATGACAGAAACCTGTATTAAATATAAGTAACCCTCTGCTTCCTAAATTAGCCAGCATAAGAATCAGAACTGACACTCCCAACTAATTTTTTAATGAAGGAAAAAGCGAGTAACTTCCTTTGTAAGATGATTTAATTATTTAATGTTTTAAGATAAAGTCCATATATATTCTTGATTATAAAAGAAAGCTAAGCGCCGAAGAATTGATGCTTTGATGCTTTTGAACTGTGGTGTTGGAGAAGACTCTTCAGAATTCCTTGGACTGCAAGGAGATCCAACCAGTCCATCCTGAAGGAGATCAGTCCTGAATATTCATGGAAAGGACTGATGCTGAAGCTGAAACTCCAATAGTTTGGCCACTTTTGTGAAGAACTGACTCATTGGAAAAGACCCTGATGCTGGGAAAGATGGAAGACAGGAGGAGAAGGGGATGACAGAGGATGAGATGACTGGATGGCATCACCGACTCAATGGACATGAGTCTGAGTAAACTCCGGGAGTTGGTGATGGACAGGGAGGCCTGGTGTGCTGCTGTTCATGGTGTTGCAAGGAATTGGACACGACTGAGCGACTGAACTGAATCATTAACCCAGTTTTTAAAAGTATCACACCAACACATCCATACTATACCTTCCATGCTTATTTCTCTGTCATTTAGTGTACATAACAACAATGATTCAAGCTTTTCATGAAGAAAAATCTTCAGTAGAATGCTAGCCAGTAGTGTTCGGTCCTGTCCGCATACATGTGATAAAGCGTAGACTACGTGAAGCTCCTTTTGCAGTATAAGCTATAAAAGACATCGAGAAAGGGTGTTGAAAGTATACAACATTGGTCATTCTCAGATGAACAGAAAATATGTTCTTCTATGGGCTTCCCAGGTGGCACCAGTGGTAATGAACCCACCTGCCAATGCAGGAGACATGAGAGAGATGGGCTCGATACATTCTCAATTTAGGAATATGTCCTATTGAATACATGTATTAAAAACAGAATGAGATTGTAGCCTTTATATTCATAGAATTAATACGAGTGTCATACTGCCGCAGGGCTTTTCAATCTTCTGTCACTGTGCCACTAAACTATGAAATTACTATATTTAACTCAACGGACCTTTCATTAAAAGTTAACTATTTCTATTAATGATTTTAAAAATAGTCTGGTAAATAACTTAAATACCTCTTTAAATTCGCTGTACTCTTCTTCTGGCATGATCTTTTCCATAGAATACCGTGCTCGGACACGCAGGGACCCTGGTTCAATGCCTTTCAAGGGTATGTGGGAGCTGAGCAGAAACCACTCGTCTGTGGCGTGCCCCTTCTGTAACCGGCTCAACTGGCAGCGCATAAACACTTCGACAGAAAAACATCAAATGATTACTGTCTCAAAAGATGACACTAATTAGTCCCACAGATTTTCCTAATGTTATGTCTTCTCTATAGTGTTAAATGCTTTTCATTAAAGGACTTTTAAGTAATATCACAAATTTGACACTTAATGCTTACTTCATTCATTTACTGAATGCCTACTATGTGCCAGGCTCTCTGACAGGCAAGGATGTGGAGTACAGACATGATTAAGACATGGTCTCTGACATGCATGAGGTCCCTGTGTCGCCAACGAGGCAAGAAGCCAATGATGGTGCCTGTGGTAAGTGCTATAAAGTTGTTAATGCTAGTGAAGTCCTGGGAAATAATTCGTAACTCAGCCTGTGAAGTTTTAAACATCCACGTTAAGCTGACTTGTAACAGGATCTGGAGGTGTATCTAAACAGAAAGGTAGAGAGAAAAAGGCAGTGTGCACACAGTCTGAACACAAAGTATGATGGATGGTTTTTAAATCCATGGATAATTTAAGAGCTATAAGAAGGCTGGCGCAGCTGGAAAGAAGGATATACAGAAGATTAAGAATGAGGAGTAGGTCAGGAAAGGGTTCTGTATCATTACTAGGGGGTTAGATTTTCTTAATGGGAACCACTAAAAAATGTTAACCATTTAGAACAGTATAGAAATTACAGAGTATAGCAAAAAATTCAGGCTTTGATTCTGTTAACATATATCACTTTTTTTTTCTTCCCAAGCCTGATTTTTAAAAAGATATTTAAGGATTAACCTAATTCACTCTGGCGTGAATTGCTAAATCCCACTGCCACCTGTTTCAGAAACAGGCTGGGAAAAGTGTGCTGCAGAGAAGAAGGACTGGCTACTAGAAGTGAACAGTGTTTTAAAGAAAAAAATTTAATAGAGTGCTTTTTTTTAATGTACATGCAAAGGACAGGAGAGTAAGAGAAACCTCAAAAGTAGGAAGAAGGGGTAAGGAAGCATCACAGAGAGATGACCACTGTCACTGTTTTCTTTTTCTTGTTATTCACTGGGTGAGGAGGGTGAACAGACACTACTTTAATCTTGAGGGCTTAAGATTACAGCATATACAATTTAGCCATTTTGGTCTTTATCTTTTTTTGACACATTCTTTCCCAACAATTAATACTTTCATATGTACAAAAAGCAATCTCAAGTTATACTACTTACATACCTTTATAATTTCCATTTTAGACTCTACTTCATTATGAATTTCCAAAGTATATAAAACACACTTTTTTACTTTAGAAAGAAATTTCTGAATTAACTTACAGATATCAGGATCTTTGCTTTTCTTCGTTTTATTACTAAGAGTTATTTCAAATCTGTTGATGTCAGGAGGAAGATCACTGAAGAAGCACACGGGGAGAAAAAGAATTAAGAAAATGTCCTGGCATCAAACTATCTAATTCCTTTGTCTCTAGTATCGAATAAGCTCCCTATTTATTTTTGCTACTAACCCAATTCAAAGTGGTAGATTTAAAACTAAATTCAAAACAGGTTTATCATTTGGTACACAAGAATACAGACAAACAAATTACACTTTGCCTACCATCCTTAACTTCCCCAAGTAAATTGTGGAAACCCTCATAAATATTTTGTATGTGTACGTTAGTAAATGCTTTTGGATTTGTCACTATGAATAACTAGGTGAAAAACCACAGACACAGCACTTTACTAACAAAAGTGAACAGATAAGACAGAAAACAAATATAGGTACTATTAAAATGCCTGAGACTGGCACCTTGTGACTGGTTTAGATACAGAGTTAAAAGGAAAAAAAAAAAGGGAAAGAAAATGCATTATGGGAGAAGAAAACCATCTCATGTAAGAGAAAATAAGACTTACTCAAAGACAAACTCTTCTGACCACACAGGGTTTTGCCCTTCCCTTGCATGAGTTTTTGCTACCTGGACGCTATTCAGGTAGATGTTACAATATGGATTAGTAAAATGTTTTACTGGGAGTTTATGGGCTTCTTCAATATGTAAAACAAGACTGCTGACCTAAAGAAAACACAAAAAGTATTACCCCAGATTTCAAAAAGTATGCATTAGGTTTCAAAGGCAATTATAAAAACCCAAAGTAGTGACTTATCCCCCTTTTTTTCAGGAAACATGACTTTCAGTTATGTTTTCCTTTTTAAGTGACACAGAATACAACATTCAGGCATTCAGCAAATTCTCACTTAAAAAATAAATATAATTGTATTTTATAAGTTATTATTCCAATTATAGTCCTACAAAAATAATGAAATACACCTTTTTCACTATAAAACGATGATTCAGAGGAAATTTGAGAAGAGGATTCTTTATTAATTTAAGTAAATAACTGTTACCACCCAAAGCAAAATCTAACATACTATATAATGCTCCTCTGGAAGATTTTATTTCTATATAGAGTTCCACAGCTAGAAAATATTTTAAAAATACTGATTCTACCTTCTCATTTTACACAAAAGGATACAGATTCAAAGAAGCCATTTTTCAGTTTTGATGCCAAAATTTAGATTCTGATTCCAAATTTCTAATATCAGGTCCTCTCTCCCTCTTGCCACCTACTATTTGTATGGCCTTGCACAAGTTAATTTCTATGAGCCTCTGCTTCCTCAGATGTAATATTAGGATAAAGTCTACACTGCAAGTTGTTGTAAAGATTAGAAATGATATGTATAAAAGCACAAGTGGAAAAGCTGGGACATAAATGTCCCTGGGGAGATTATCAGACTTCTGGCTACAGGGAACATAACAGAATCATCTGAAAATAACCATTCATTCACTTATTGGTTAAATTGACCTAGCTTACTGGAAATTCCCATAAGTATTAAATAAAACAAGAGCTACTTTAGTCAATAAAGTACTATGCTTTTCTCAAAACTCCAAGAATGTTAAATTTACTTTTTTTCAATTATCTGGGGATAACTAGAAGAGTAAAGCAAAGAAATGGAGGCTATACAGTTCTTTACATACCTAGAAGAAAAAAGAGAAAGCCTAGCTTTACTCTCCATAAATAAACATGTAGGACATGTTCAGGTTTCAAAAAACATAGGATACTACCTGCAAGTTAAATAGGTTTCAAAGGCAATTACTGTAAAAAACACTAAAGTTACCAGGATTAGTACTTTCAGTCAGATGATTTTTTCAATGAGCACTTTTAGTTCTTTTTTGACACAGGCCAAAATAATTTTTTTAATGAAAAGAGTAATAGTGCCAAACAGAATAGTTTCTGTTGTCATTGACTTGGCATTGGAACTTTAAGTAGAAGAAAAACATCTTTGGTATGGTATGTATTCAACAGATGGCATTTGGGACTAAGTACCCTATACAAGGCAGTGAAGAATCTGCCTGCAATGAAGGAGATGCGGGTTCAATCCCTGGGTCAGGAAGACCTCCTGGAGAAGAAAATGGCAACCACTCCAGTATTCTTGCCTGGGAAATCTCATGGACAGAAAGCCTGGTGGGCTACAGTCCATGGGGTCATAAGAGTCAGACACAACTTAGCAACTAAACAGCAACCCAGCAAGGATATAAGAATATTCTTCATAAAGAAATTACTATTTCTCCTGCTGCTGAAGCCAAGTGGGAGCATGGCTTTAAAACGCCTGAAAAAGATTAACCTCTTAAGAAATCTGGAGTATTTGAAATGTTGCCCAAATAGTTCAGAGAAATAAAGAGCAAAGTGATTAAGCTAAACACAATCACTAATCTGTGACAATCACAAATCAAAGAAAATAAAATTTCACCTGACGCAGGCGTTTATTAGATGTCCCTGGACTACTTTTCCTTAAGTTGCAAAATGCCTGCAGACCTTTCATCCAATCCTACGAAAAAGAATAACAGCATTTCAAAGAAATATACTATATAGTAGTTTATGCAGTTTCCAGTCATCAATTTGGGTTCTTCCTCAAAATTCAATAGTTCTTTACCTTCTCTACACTCAAGAGTATCCCACACTTTAAATATATCTGTGCTCCAACAAAGTAAAAGAGTGACCAAAACAGTTATAATAATTCTGCAAAATACTGACTGTATTATTGCAGAATCTCTAATAATCCTAAGTGTCAATGAGGGATTGTTTAGTAGCCAAAAAATAAATATACATGTAGCTAAGCAGTTAAACTTGAGGCACCCTACGGCAGAATTTAACTTGATACATTTTGTGAAAGGAATGCTGACTGCAAAACCAACTGATAATGTGATGACTGATTTGATGACTAGTTTTCTAATCTTTACCTTAGACCATGAAATGTATAAGGGGATCTGGGTGATTTATAAGCCTTTCAAATATTAATGTTAGATATAAAATACTGCAGCCTAATATTAAAACTAAGTTACAGATATATTCTCAAATGTTTAATACCCTACTATGCTGGAGAAAAGAGAATAATTTTAGGTTATAAATATTTGGCATACATGTTTCTAGTAAGCTCTGTACTATTGCTTCACTCAGTTATGTCTTCAATGTGTTGGCTACTTCAGTGAATCTGAATTCTGTCAATGTTTAGAGTATGTCTTTTAATGGGCAAATTTAAGACTAAATCAATTACCATAGCTTTCATAAAGAGAAGATAATAACCAGAGATCCTACAGGTCACCAAAGTAACAAAAATTTGGAATACCGTGGCATTTTTGGACTTTAAGGGGTACATAAAAACATGAAATATGGAAAGAGTATAGATAAATAATAAGGTGTTCTATTTATACATTATGTGAGACACCCAAAACATAATGGAATGTCATCAAGGTGTGTAACACATCTCCAGAAAGAGAGAACATGATAAAATAACTGAAAGACAGGATACTCAAGCTTAAATTTCTTTCCTAACTCAATTTCTAATGATTAAAAAAAAAGTCAAAGTTACCAAAATATTATGAGCACTATTTTTGCAGATTAGGGATAAATACCCATGTTCAAACAGTAAAGAATCTGCCTGCAATGCAGGAGACCTGGGTTTAATCCCTGCATTGGGAAGATCCCCTGGAGAAGGTAATGAATACTCACCCCAGTATTGTCCTGGAGAACCCCATGGACAGAGGGGCCTGGGGGGCTACAGTCCATGGGGTCACAAAGAGTCAGACTAATACTTTCACTTTTTTCACCCATGAAAGAAGGTTTTATGTGTATTACAAGCTAATAATGAGTATTCAATTGTGCTATTTTTTCCATGACATGAAAAATGATATGCAATTATGAGCCATAAAACACAATGGCTCATTCATCAAGTTTATTCTACAGTCAAACATATCTTCATAATTTATGAATCAGGAGCCCAAGCCAGGATCCAGAGTTTTAAGAGCATCTGTCTCATATCCAGAATTGGCAAATTATCTTCTTTTTTCAGTGAAAGTCACGTTCTTTCACCTCTAAACTACTTTCAGGTTCCTTCCATAGTGTATTAGCAGAAGAAAATACAGTCATATATCTACAAAATACCACTGAACACCCCAGAAATATTGTGGTTCAGAGAAATCAATGTATTTTTAAAAGATCTTTAAAAACATTTCTTCACATTACTTAAAATTTAATGAAAGTTTTAATAAAAGCACTGCACCTGTATCAATGGCTAATACTGAAAGAAAACATTATATCTAGACTTAGAAGAAAAATAGAAAAATTCCTCAAATTTTTCCTTGTGATAACTGAATTTCTATTTTCAGATACAGAGTTCAACCAGTGAAGAACAGCCAACGTTTATTAGCAAAACCAACTGACTTACCTTTTTGAGTATACTGAGAATACCTACAACCTTTCTTCAGAGAAGATTTTAAATGAGCATTCTCAATTGAGTCAAACATCATAAGAGTATTTTAAGGTCAATTTAAAATGGAATTTTCCCAATAACCCTTCACTGTGGTTTTTTTTTTTTGCATTTCTTTCAAAAATTTTTTTATACATGAAAGTTCTTATTGCTAAAAATAAAAGATGATTAGAGTCCAGGCACCTTTTTTATTACCTTAAGTGCAATAGTTTTCTATTCTAGTTAAGAAAATATGGACTGAATAAAGGTTTATAGTAGTTGAAAAAACATTTAACTTACCTCTGCCTGTTCTGGAGTTTCTCCTGCAAAGTAGAAGATGTAATGTTCTTCACTAAAGTGCTGAACCACTATCTGGAAACAGTTTGGCCTTTAAAATACAAATAAAAAGTTAGTAGGAAGTTCAACAAAATGTACTGATTACAGCACTTATATCAACTTTAGAAAAAAAATATAATTATGTAATTTATACAAAATTAACAATTCATTTAGAGAGATAATCCATTGTACTAGATTACTAAAAAGAATATGTCAGCTGCATATATTTTAGAAAGCTTTCTATCTGTAATACTGAAATCTATCGAAGTTTAAAAACGTTTCAAAGTACTATGTAAATTATTTTAAAATAGAAAAGTTACAAGAAAATTGAAAACCTAAAACAAAATTGAAGCAGAAGTGCTAGAAGTGCATGGAGCTCATCTAAAGCCTAAAACAAACAAAATGTTACTAAACTTGCAGCTTAAGGATGATACAGAATATACATTTCTACGTACTGTGGCTATCTCTCAGTAGATTATGGGTGATTTTAATTTTCTGCTTTATAACTTTATTTAAAAAATTTTTTAACAACTGGCCATTTTTCATGTTAAATGGAAACATCAACAAGCTTATTTTGTGGCTCAAATGACCTAATAGTAGTGTACAATAAATATTAGTTCTTATCTTCCTATAAGTATGTACTGTACTACATATAATTCACTTGACAAGTAAATACAATATTGGTAGTTTACATATTTTTTGAAGATGTGTTGTTTTTCCAATTAGATTTGAAAATTTAAAAGGGCCTTCAAACCTTTGAAATTCAATAAGTGTTATTTGTATTTCTTGCTTTAACCAAAGATATATCTTAGACCTTGGTGTTAGAAGGTCATAGCAAAATACCCAGAGTACAAGCTTAACATATGGATTAGAGATAAAAAACCATGTCTTCAATGCTTTAAGAATACCATAAAACAGTGGAATATGTCAATTGAAAACTTCTGATTCTGAAAGTGGTTTGCACCAGATTAACCCTCCTGGATGGATAAAATATAAACCAAACAAAACACAACTGTATGAAGTCACTGGAGAACAAAGAGGTGGCTAAGACTTGAGGGAACAAGATATAATGAAGTGAGAATGACATTCTCCACAACTGTTCTTTTCAAGGTGATTGCCAGTTCCTAAACTGTTTAGGGCAGGAAGCTGAGGTGATAAGCAGAAAGCATCTAAGAGGCTAAAAAGCTAAGCGAGCACATTCAGAGTTTCACAGAATTGGGAGAGACAAACGAGTTCCGGGCCTTTAAATGAGGAGGCTTTCTGTTGAGACCCCGGAAGGGCTACGCCTTCAGAATTGAGAGCTAGTCAGAGAGAAAACAGCCTTCACCAGTCCTTCCAGTTGATCCCTAGGCAGATCGCTATGAACTACCCCTACTCTAACTCATCCGGCAGAAGAACAGTCCTCTCTGGAGGCAATAACATTATGTATAGCTTCTACAGTTCGTCACATACTATGTCCACTTCAGTCAAACATACGTTGACATTAGAGGAATCAGGATCGAATGACTGAAAAGCTGAAAGAAAAACAAATGAGAAGGACCTACAAATCACACAGATGTTGAGGACAGATACAACTTTCAAATATTTTAATAGTAATTAAAAGGCTTTGAAAAAGATAATAGAAAAGAGAATTTTGTTACATAACTAGAAATATAAAAGACAACTCAAGTGGAAATTATAAAGCAGCAAATGTAATAAAATTAAGACCTCAACAAGTGCATTTTACTACAGAAGAATAGTGAATTGAAAGACAAATCAAAGAAAATATCCAACCTGAGGCACAGAAAGGAAAAAAATTACGAAAAGCATAGAGGAAACGGTTTCACAGACACATGGGACATAGTAAAAGGTATATAACATGTAATATGAATTCCAAAAGATTAAAGTGAATGTGGTAGTAGGACTGTTTAAAAAGATACTAACAAAGAATTTTTCAAAACTGACAAGAGACATCAGGTCTTAAGAATAAAGAAGCTCTACAAATATGATAAATTTTTAAAAATATTTTTTACAGTAGGCACATATTGATTTAACTTTTGAAAATCTAAGATAAGGAAAGATCTCAAAGCTTCCAGAGAAAGATGAAATAAGTATACACATTGAAGGAAAAAAAAATATCCATAATCTCTAAGAGAAACAATTAGAATGACAAAATGTTGGAAAGCAGAGACTCTTTACAAGGCTGAAAGAAAATAATCACCAAGCCTAAAATGTAATATCCATCAGAAACATCCCTCTTAAATAGATAAAGCAATAAATACTGCCACAAGAAAAGATTCAGCCTAAGAAAAGGTAAAGGTGCAAAACTCCCATGTAAATATTCAGTACAGCAATAACTCTGTATGACTGAAATGTCTTTCAACTTATGCTTCTGAAACAGTTAATATTTAAAGTAAAGCAGTATTAAGAGTCAGACGTTTAATATAAAGAAACAGAGTATTAGAGACATCTCAATAATACTGGAAAAAAACTGGAAAAACTACACAGCCACACAACTAAAGCACCAGAGAAAACAGCGGAATGGCAGTGCTGACCAGCATTCCTACACCACAGGCGGGGCGTGCAGAGCGGTCATCTCTCTGCTGTGGGTTGCCATGAACCTTCACATTAGACTCCACCCAAACGCTCAAGGTAAGTCAGTATATTGGGCTCTGCTTATACAAAGCAAGAAATCTTCAGCGACTTAATCTATTTGATAACACAACAAACACTTATTTTCTCAGGATTTTCAGTAGCTGCTGGAGGAAATGTTCACCTCTCCTTTCTCTGGTACTGCTTGCCACCTTTGCTCTCATGAAGGAAGTGGCTCTGTGAGAAAAACCCAGTACATACAAAGTAAGGCAGAGCAGCAAGACTGAGAGGAAGCCAGAGGTCTGATCCTACTACATCTGAAGGCCAAGTTTCCCATATTGTTAAGTGAGGGGAAAAAATCTTAAATCCTATCTTACCCAGGCCTTTTTTTTTTTTTTGGATAACTGTTTTCAAGAGATATTAAGAAGTGTTTGGGGCTGGGGGAAAGCAAGAGTATCAAGGTCAAATGAATTCATGAAATACTTCATAGTATTTTATGATGATTCACACAGTATTTCATGATGATTCATAGTATTTCATGTTGATCCACTCTTGATGATTCACAATACAAACATGGGCTACAACTTCAAAATGTCCCACTGTATGGAAAATTATTTGTTCAATTCAGCATCTCCCAAACCTATTTGAGCACTTAAAAGATGCACTGTTAAATTTCAAATAATACTAATGTGATCTCCAAATACAATTTGGACAAAATGACAAGCCTGTATGTCCTACAGGTATTTCTCTTGAAGCTTTCCCAACTTAAATAGGAAAAACTGAAGCTGCCTAGTAGAGATGCCATCCTGCAGCAGAAAATAGACTGTTAAAAATTTGCAGTAATTATCTTCAAACACGCCTGTGTGCCTTACTCAGCCGCCCAGTCATGTCCGACTGTTGCCATCCCCATGGATTGTTCACCCACCAGGCTCCCCTGTCCATGGGATTTTCAGGCAAGAATACTGGAGTAGATTGCCATTTCCTTCTCCAGGGGATCTTCCTGACCTAGGAGGCGAACCAGCATCTCTTGTGTCTCCTGCATTGAGAGGCAGATTCTTTACCACTGGCGCCACCTGGGAAGCCCCCATAGCAATACGTAATAAAACTGCTTGCTAAGTATACCCCAAAACACTCTAGAATGGATTCATAACAGATAGTCCATCAGTCCATCTTATAAGTGGTCAAATAGGTTTATTAATAATACTGATGGTGAAAGATAAACAAAGGCTCTTGTTACAAAAATCTAGATGGAATTAAGTGCTGAATTTGCCTTGTGATGTTCAGGATTTACTTCTATTTATTTTCTTAAAAACTGTGACATTAATGTAGGAAAAACAGTTTTAATTTCAAATCTGAAATACTCTCTCCTCTTTTCTATTGAAATAATTCTTTTTATACTACAGTTGTCTCTCAACGTCAGCTTTCTTAGGAATCAAGTTAATAGTACAACTGAGTGATCTAGTACTATCATATGCATTGAGTTAACCAAAAATGATAAAATAGGAGAAAGGTGACAAGAATCAAAGTCATTCAAAAGACTGACGGTAAATGCACTGCATACAGAGTAAGTCTTAATACAAGAGATCCATAGATTTCTATGTGATATAGTGGAAGTAGAATTTTATGCATAAGTTAGTCTAAAAGAAAAAAACAAAAATTATCCTAGAAAGTAAATATGGCATTTTCAGATGATTTTCAGGATCTCAAAATTGGTTTGCTATGCTTTGAAATGATCTGAACATACTATTTTATTATTAAAACAATTCCAAAAAGATATAGGAAACCAATTTCTTACCTGCCAAAGAGACTATCATGAACAACATAGACAGAACACACGCTGAGATCTATTAATCCTTTTGGTTTTGTAGCTCGTTTTTCACTTTCAAAATAAATAAGTTGGGCATCACTGCCCTCTAAGATAAAATATAAATTTTTCCACCTTTTTCCCTTTCCTGTTAAAGAAAAAACAAATTATTTTCCCTTAGCCAAATAATGAACTACAAAATCACTGACAGTAAAATCATAAAAATGATCATTGCTTAAAAAAAGTTAAATATATTTCATATTTCAATTTTTATTCCCAAAGCTTCAATAATACCAATCCTTACAAAATGAGAAAATGTCTATAATCATATCTGTAGAAAAATATTTTGTTATATTCCTTGTTTTAATGAATCACAAGGTAAGTGACAAGGGTACCTTAACAGTGTATTTAGAAATTTCACTACAATAAATCATTAAAATTCTCGCTTAGCATTATTTCTTTTCTGGTCATAAGGGAAAAAAAATCTCTTCTGCTAGTCACGTACCCCTCATCCCCCACATTTCTTAATGCCAAACTGAGGCAAATATATATAATAGGGACCTCAATACCATCAATGGGATAAATGTCAGTAAGAATTTTCGCTTAAAAAAAGTATGGATAGACAGGTGACCAAGAGACCAAGAATCAGATGTCAACTTGTTAAATTCATAGCTCAATGATAAGATTCATGCCCAATACTTTACAATGTTTAACAGCAAAATACTGAAGCTGAATCTTTAGTCTTAAAAGTTTACAATTACCTTTTTTTAGAAGATAACCTTTTTTAACAATATTTTTATAAAAGGCATCCTTTGTTTTACGACGAATTGTATTGTAAATTTCCTTGCCATCCACTGCATCATTGAGTACTTGTTCTTGATCCTGAATTTTCAAAATATTAAAATTATTTCATGAATTCTTGATGGAAATGAAGTAAAATCTACTAAACTACCAACTTAAAAACCAGATTGTGCCTGTCTAGACATTAAGAAAAAAAATTAATACCAAAATCTAAAATAATGTAACATATATATTAAGAGATTCTGCTTTCCAAAGAAATTTTCAAAAAGGTGCCCTTCCCATTTCTCAAGAACCATTTTTTAAAATACAGTTTTTTGTGTGCTTTATAGCAACACCATTTTGAAAACATGCATTTGTCCCAGCATTAACTGATAGATTTGGACCAATTTGAGCATAAAGCAAATTCATGTTTGCTTATGCACAATTACATCCTCGAGAAACTCTAAGTGAGTGCAGAAAGCTGCACTCAGCTGAAATGAGATGCCTAGGAATATGCAAAATACATCCCAAAAGCCTAACGGCCTCCCTAGATTCACTGAGTGTTATAAGCCATATCCATACAGTCACATCTAGCGTCCTAATGTGTCTGATTTCAGAGAGTCCTCCCTGTACCACTTCCCACTGTTTACAACCCTTCTGATGGCCTCTTCCACAAGAAAACTTCAGGCCTTTTTCAAGGTAAAGTGCCTTATTTATTGTACTACTTGATGCGAAAGTAACTGCTGTTTTTGCGTTGTTGAACTTGGCCATCTGATTTTGGAATACATTCTTAAATAAATGTGGTTATGTTATACATCATTTTAATGCATATTTCTCACTCTATGCTTTTTTGCTAGTGACTTATTACTTGCTGTTTAGTTTTTAGACTATGGAAATGATGTTAAGACAAAAAGCAAATTCGAGCGATTTTTTTTTTATTTGAGTTCAAATGCATCGTAAAGCAGCAGAGACAACTCGCAACATAAATAAACAACACATCTGGCCCAGGAACATGAACATATATAGTGCAGTGGTGGTTCAAGAGGTTTTGCAAAGTAGGCCCTGAAGATGAAGAGCATAGTGGCCAGCCATCGTAAATCGACAACGACCAATTGAGAGCAATCATCAAAGCTGAATACAAGAGAAGTTGCTTAAGAACTCGTGTCAACCATTCTACGGTATTCAGCATTTGAAGCAAATTGGGAAAGATGAAAAATCTCCATTAAGTGGGTGCCTCATAAACTGACCAAAACTCACAAAAAATCATTTTGAAGTGTCATCTTGTCTTCTTCTACACGACAATGAACCATTTCTCTATCAGACTGTGTTGTGCAACGAAAAGTGGATTTTATACAATCAGCTCAGTGGCTGGAATGAGAAGAAGCTCCAAAACACTTCCCAAGTCAAACTAGCATCAAAAAGAGGTCATGGTCAGTGTTTGGTTGTCTGCTGCTCGTCTGACCCATTACAGCTTTCTGTATCCTGGCAAAACCATTACATCTGAGAAGTATGCTCAGCAATTTGATGAGCTGCACCAAAAACTGCAATGCCTTCAGCTGGTTTTGGTCAACAGAACGGGCCCAATTGTTCTCCACGAGAATGCCCAACTGCACATTTCACAACCAACACTTCAACAGTTGAACAAATTGGGCTATGAAGTTTTGCCTCATCCACTATATTCACCTGACCTCTCGCCAAATGACTACCACTTCTTCAGGCATCTCCGACAACTTGTTGCAGGGAAAACACTTCCACAACCAGTAGGATGCAGAAAATGCTTTCCAAGAGTTTGTTGAATCCCGAAGTATGGTTTTAATGCTACAGGAATAAACAAATTTATTTCTCAGTGGCAAAAATGTGTTGATTGTAATGGTTCCTACTTTGATTAATAAAGATGTATTTGAGCCTAGCTATGATGATTTAAAATTCATGGTCCAAACCCGTGATTACATTTGCCCCAACTTAAATATTTCTTACCCATTTAGCACACAGTTTCTTATCTCTGTGTGTCACTGATGACGCTTTTCAGTGTTGTACCCACAACTCCACCTTCCCCAAAATCCTGTGGGGTTTATTGCATGATTTTATGACACTGAACTACAGGAAGGCATGTATCTTAACTGCTAAGTCCCCACAACCCCCTATAATAAAAGAATTAGGATGTCAGGAAGAACATAAAGATAAAAGTGCCTTTATAATGATCTTCCCCAAAGAAGTCAATCTTCAATATTGCCATCTAGTCCAATGGACCTGATTTTAGTTTTTAGTTTCTTGTTTGAGCAGCTCTTATTACTTGCAAGAATTAACATTTTATGACTTTTTCTTAGAGATTCATGGATCCAGCCGAACATTTTATATCTAAGATATGTTATAGAATTTTCATGAATCCTATTTTTTCCTACATCTTGAAACACTCTGCTATTTTATCATCCCAGGAACCATTTCATCATGACTCAACAATTATACTCAAGTATGCTGAAGAGAATGGCAAACCACGGCACACGGACCAAATCTAGCCCACTGCCTGTATCTGGACGTAGTTTTCCTGGCACACGGCCATGGTCATTCTTTTACATACTGCGTGTTGCTGCTTCACTGCAAAGGCAGAGTTTAAGTAACTGAGACAGAGACTGAATGGCCCACAAAATCTAATTATTTATTATCTGGTCCTGTACAGAAAAGCCTGCCAACCTTTGGCCTAGAGGCTGATGCAACAGTGAAATATATCAGCTCTATTGCATCACCTCTGGCACTTTTTACTGTGTTGCCAACTATTGCAGCATCTTCCAAAAAATATAAAAGGCCATCTTTGTTATCTGTTTATTAGTTTTCACTGAGTGCAGATAAAAATTCAGAATTCTTAATTTTCTGCTCATATTAGCAGAAAGAAAAAGCTGAAAAAGATGTTTCATAATTATAAAAGGAATCAGATGATGAATGCAAAGCAACATCAATACTCTGTGATCTACTGTGATGATAAAATTGATTTTGATAAGCTAAGTCTCAGACTGTAATTCTTGATATGGTAATATCCTTGATGAATTTTCTCAAACTCAAGAATGTGCTGAGTAAATGTTGTATTTCTAGGGAAACAAAGGAAACTCATTTACTGCACTCATTTAGTTAGTGATTCAATAGGAAGGACATCATGCAATAATTTGTGACAAGAAATCTAGATAAACCTGTTTCCTAACAGGAAATGAGGACTCTTAAAACTTTTATGATTTGCATCAAGATTTACTCAATATGGCTTATAAATGGACAAAGGTATTTTGTATTTAAAGGTTACTGGAAGGAAACATATAATGTAGAAATTTAAAAATTCACCATATTGATCATTCTAATTGATGCTTATAAACCTACACATAAAAATATATTACACTTAAAGACTGTACTATCCAACAAAATTATGAAACAAAGTGTTCCAAAGTATTACAGCTAATGTTGCAAGAACAAGAAAGAATCAAACTAGAACACAGCTGAAATATATTTAAAATCTAGAATAAGTACTGCATTTTGACAGTAAAAATGTGAAAAGAACCAGAGGAATTTTATAAACAAAAACTATTATAAAAGCTGTATCTGAAATTAGGGTTTACAAGATGGATATGATTCAGGTCCGTACGTGACAGTGGATAACAGTTAGCTGCCTTCTGTTTCAGGAACAAGCCTTTATAACCAAGGCAATACAGAACAAAAATTAGGGTTTACTACATTTAAATTCTTATTAAATTTCTAATAAAGTTTTTTTTTGTACTAAACCTTCATTCTTACTCCTATAAATTATTCAGAAAATGACCAAGAAAATAAAAAATTTTAAAAGATACACTGCACCCAGATGATAGTGGTAACTACGTCCCTAGTTGTATAGATTTGTACTTATCAGTCTTTATCACAGTAGTGATAATATTTGCTCTTCAGAACAGAATGGGGCATACTTGTAGTCTACATGGTGGCTGTCAGTCAAGGCTGCCTGCACTGCAGGAGACCCAGGTTCGATCCCTGGGTGGGGAAGATCCCCTGAAGAAGGAAATGGCAACCCACTCCAGTATTCTTGCCTGGAGAATTCCATGCAGAGAGAAGCCTGGCAGGCTACAGTCCTTGGGGTCACAAAGAGTCGGACACTACTGAGCGACTTTCACGCACTCATTTAAGACATTACAACACTGACATTTGGATTTAAATACCTGATTTCAGGATTATATAAGTCTTTCCAATTTGACATAAAGGCGGGTCATCTGATCTACACCACCTACACTGGGAGACACTACAGGCAGGGACAGAACATCACGTGCCAAGTTTTGCTAGGTTACTAACTGACAGGAGGGAAGGCTTCTCAGCCCCTCTTTCTGCAAAGTTCTGGAGAAGGAGTCTCACATTCCTCCCGAAGGCAAGCAGGCTGTCGACCGGTGAGAGTCTAACACCACTGAAGCAAGCTTTGCACAGAGGTTAGGTGTGCAGGCCCTGCTTCCGTTGTGAACCCTGCCTTTCTCAGGTAAAGGCTAAGAAAGCTCATTTGATAAATGAATTCAATAAGAGTTCTTTGAGTGCCAGTGTTGTAGTTCTTGAGATATATCAGTCAATAAATCAAAGATCCTTACCCTCAAGGAACTTACACTCCAATGATGGAAAGAGATAATAAACATAATGAGTAAGCAAACTGAATTGTATGTTAATAGGTGGTAAGTGCTCTACAGGGTAGGGCAAGCAGCAGCAATAAATAATATACAAAGCAAAAATCCTAATGCAGCAAAGACCCTGACATATTTTTGTTTTGAATAGAGAAGCCAGTGTGAGTGGAGATGAGTGAGTGAGAAAGATGGCAGAAGAGTTCAGAGGACCACGGGACACTGCACCAGGGCAGGGACTCTGGCTTTTAATCTGGATGAAATGTAGACCACCTCTTAGTATTAAACAGAGCCGTGAAATGCTCTGACACATTTTAAATGGATCCCTCTGACTGTGGTACAGTTTTAAAGGGGGGGTTGGGGGCAGAAGTGGCTAGAAACAGAGATGACATTCTCTAATAATTAGAACCCTGCTGGGAAAGAAAGGTAAGTGTTGCATTTCTCAAACTTCTATTGGAACATACTTTTACTCCAGGCCCAAAATATTTCTGGTGATGGTTAAATTCTATATCTATTTTGAAGGCAGAGATGGCATGATGATCCTGACAGTTTGGATAGAGAGTGTAAGAGACAAAAAGAAGAGTCAAGGATGACTTGATGCCTTAAGTAATTTACTTACCTTCTCTGGTCCCAGTTTTCCTATCTGTAAAATTACAGAATCAACCTCTTCAAACTGTTTAAAAAGTTAAATAATACATGTAAGACAAGGTGTCTAAAATAGTGTCCAAAAGGCTCCTTGTTTCTTCTAGTCCACCAAGCAAAAGATCACTGTGCTTTCTTTTTCACCATCTTACCCTGAGTAGGGGTACGCAGGGTCACCTTAGGGGAAATGAGCTGATTCTGTTAGCTAATCACTTTTACAATAATAAAAAAGACATTACTAGCCTTTGGGTTCTCTAACAGTTAGAATCCTTCTGGGAAGGACAGGTAAGTGTTATGATTCTCAAATTTTTCTATAAACTACTTTTACTCTAGGCCCAAAATAATTGACTTCAAATAGCATTTAACGGTTTCTATGAAGTAATCAAATTGTTCAGTAATCAGCATCAGTTATTTCTGAAGTACTGAAAGCATTATAGGCACTTTTGTAAATGATAATACTTGGAGGTTTGTTCAGTTATGAAACAGTAACACAAGAATAAGGCACAATGTATATTTGAAGTAAGTTTTAAAACTATCTTATAATTTTAGTATAAGAGCTTATTAAGTGTTAAATGCTACTTATTTTTCTAACTATAAAAAATTTAGTTAGAAAATTCTAATAAGACAAACTTAGGACAGGAAAAATGTGTGCATGACTTGTGAGCAAATAAAATTTATTACTCAAACAGCCAATCTGAATTAGAATGCAGAATACAGCAACAGGAGTGGCAGGATCCATCATTTGTAGGTAAAGGCACCTTTGATCCAATAAAAAGATCCTAAGCAGTGGTATCTAGAAAGCACATACCATACTACGCAGAAAAACAATAGGCAAAGTCTGCCAGAATTGCCAACTTAAAAGCTGTGTGAGTGTGTGTGTGTTAGTCACTCAGTCATATCTGACTCTGTGTGTGTGTGTGTGTGTGTGTGTGTGTTAGTCACTCAGTCGTATCTGACTCTCTGCGACCCCGTGGACTGCAGCCTCTGTCCAGGGGATTCTCCAGGCAAGGATACTGGAGTGGGTTGCCATGCCCTCCCCTCCAGGGATCTTTCCAACCCAGGGATCAAACCCGGGTCTCCTACATTGCAGGCAGATTCTTTATCATCTGAGCCACCAGAGAAGCCCCAACAAAAGTGGTACATAATTGCTAACTACAGATATTAGGAAGATGTCAACAAGGAAGTAAAACTTGAGATGTAAACTTGCAGGATTCAGAAAGGCAAAGAGGAAGAAACTGACATGGAGATCTCAACAAAGCACTGGAAACACAACACACAACTGCCCTCATGAACTTTCCATCTATCAGGAAAGCATAAAGAAATGAAGCAAGATTATATTAAAATGTAGCAAGATGGTTCTTAAATTTATGTTAAGCATCAGAATAATGTTTCTCTCTTAATCAGCAATTAATAGTCAGCTATAACCATCAGAAACTAATTTGTTAGGAGGAAATAATGAGACACTCAAGACACTACAAATCACTGTGGAAGTTTAGTGGGGACCCAAAACCCCTCAACAATCCTTTTTTACATCCTGGGAAATACACTACCCCCATTTTCCACATAGGAAAATTCTTAATCACTTTTTGAAGTACCTTTTACTTACCTTGCTTCAACCCTTTAACCACCACACTTTAGGAAGTATGGGCAAGATACAGAAGCTAATCAATCACCTAGGCATTAAGCAACTAGCATTCAGCAGGAGCTCTCGTTCAAGGCCAGTCCTTCTTATGTTCTGGATTTCAGTCACTCTTGCCTTCTCTAGGACCTTGTACATGGGGTACTGCCACTACCCCATCCCTCACCCACCCACGCTATTTCCTCAAGTACACACATGCTCAAAACTCTCTCACCATAAAAGTACGGGCAAATAAAGAAGCTCTAAGTTTAAACCCCTTTTTTCTCTACATCATCTTCTAGCTACTATTTTTTATTTTCTTTACTTCCCAAGCTCACCTAGATAAACCTGGCTGTGATTTACCCTTGCTGTCTCCACCTTTGCCTCCAACAAACTCACTCCTTGACCCAGTGCCACTTGGCTTCTGTCCCCACAATGCCTTCTACTCTCAAAAAGCCACCAAGGACTTCCTAATTATCTAGAATCAACATAAAAACTGAGAGATTCTCTTACAAAGATTCACTTTCTGAAAGAATCTGAATAACCAGCAGTTTTAAATTTTATCCAATTTCAAATGCATGGATGTGTGCATAACCATATCACCAAAAACAGCATTTTAAATTAAAAAGCTGATTACTGCAAAAAGAAAAACAACACTGACCTGCATGGGTACAGGTTCCTTAAGATAATACCCTTCAACAATTTGTTCTTTTCGATAGTGATCTATGATGTCCCCAATGCTGTTAAAATAAAAATTACTAACACTGACATAATTTGTCTCATAAAAATTGCAAGTCTTAAAAATACACACAAACCTTGTTAGCAAGGATTATCTGTTTGCAAGTTTTTTTCCAAAGTAAATAGCCAGAATATATTAATAGAATATATGATCATTACAGTCACATTACTTTAGAAAATCAAGAATGTTCCTAATATTGATTTACAGGTCAGAAATACTTGACTCAGAGATTTCAATTTTCCACACACATACTCCAAGCATCACTATATGTGAGAAAAGGATTAAAAGTCCACTTTTTTTGTTTTTTTTTTTTTAAATAAAAATATCTGAGAGATTGAGCAAGAAATGACAGACAAATCACATTTATTTAGCAAGTAGTGAGTTCAGGTTAAACTTAAGAATTTTTATCATCCAAATAATTTATCAAGTTATCATTTACATATTCTGCTTTTATAATAATAAGATGGAGTCATAAGACAAATAGCAGGTGGAAGCAGAAACAATAAAGGGAGGGAGGGAGGGAGGAAGAAAGGAGTAGAGACGGAAGGGGGAACGAAGGAAGAGCAGGAGCTAATCTCATATGTAGGATTATAGCTACAGCAGGAAAGGCTTATTGATGATTTTGATAAAAATGTTCTAAAATATTAATATTTCAAGAATATTACCAATAAAAAACTGAAAATAAATGACATTATATAATGTATTTTAACACAAACTTTAACATGAGTTTTTTTAAGTGTAAAAATGTTTCTCTATAATCAGTTTGCCATTTTACTGTCCTACATATGTAAAACCTAGAATTTTAAACTTTCCTTTAATATACTAGGGGAAAGGATATTTTAGTGACAGTTAGGCAACATTTCTCAAAACATCTTGTTAATTTATCACTTTATTTTTTCATGTTTTTCCTACTGATCCAATAACTTTTATACACACATCAGTGTATATATATATATAACTGGATATATATTCATCCCTTTTTTTATAGTTCTTCCTACTGAAAGAATAGTTGAAACATATATTATCTTTTATCTTTGGAGACACGTATGTGTGTATCTATATATATACATAGATACACACATATATATTTATCCCTGATGATAAAATATCTTTGCTATACCACAAAATTATTTCAAATTAAATATAAATAAAGTATAATGCTAAAAAGTAAAACAGAAGACCTGAAAAGATTAATAAAAAAAAGTACAAATGAATATGAACTAAATACCAGAGACAGCATTTAATATGATAGGGTGAGGGTAATAAGACAAGCAAAGAATTTTAAAGGTGAAAAGTACGAACCAACAATCACAAATAAATACCAGCTTGGGAACAAACTAATATTGTTGGATAACATTATTAGTAAGTCTTAGGTCATTCTTTAACTTTTTTTCCTATCAAAATGTCTCACTGATTAAAGACTAATATATTTTCTTTTCTTAGGTTAGATGTTCTGTTGTCCTACAGATAATGTATGAACTTACTAACAAATTTGCTGCAAATAACCTGTGCATTAATAATAAAAAAATTATACACATTATTTTGGTAGAAATAAATTATTACTTTATATACATGTTTGACAATGTCTAAAAAGTCCTTGGACATGATGACTAAATTACATTAAATGTCTTATAATTTCAAATATTACAGTCAGAAATTTTTATATAATTTTGATTCTAATAAACTATTTTTTATGATATTTCAACTCTTTTCACCAAAAGTAAAAGATAACTATAAATTTCTCCCAACTTACCTGTTATAATATCGGCCTCCCATCATAAACTGATTGTTTGGTGTTGGACATATTTTAAACCGCTGAATATTTTCACTGGTCCGAAAATAAAGTGAATAGTCCCCAGGAGTATTATCTGACGGCCTCACGAGAAAACTGCAGACTTGACCAACTGTAAAAATTAATCTGTTAGTTTTATTCCCTAATTATCAAATTAAAAAAGAAAAAGAGTTAAGTAGTATAATTATAAATTACATTCAAAAGCATATACAAATTTTCACCAGCTACTTGTTTTATAATAAAAAATCTTAAGGCAATCATTTTTTGTATTTTCTGGTTTATGAGTCACAATCATCCATGATGTTACTTGTCTTTATTAAATAAAAATACAGGGCAGAAGTTTGCAGCAATGACTTCTGGTTAATAATATATATATCTGTCATAACTTGGAAAGAATACTGTAACCACAGGTAGGAGGTACTGGCTAAAACTGCTGCACTGTTTGCAAATCCCATAAGAAGAAAAGTCAAAAAAAAGTTATAGTGAATTTTACTTTAGCATGCTCTGTACTTAATACTTCTGATTAAACATTAAAAAGTCATAATTGTAATAAAATAGTAGGCAAAAACTTATATAGATGAAAACTGAAATATTTGTGTACCTAATCAAAATTAATACACATGCACTATATTTCATTTAAAAGGCATGATCTGAAAAAATCATAAGCAGCAAATTATCATATATCAGATATTTCATATTAATTTTAGAGAAGCCTTTTTGACATCTACAATTAGCAATGACTGTTACCACTAAGATCCTTTCTACCTTTTCTCTGTTTAAGTCCTAATGACATAGGAAAGATCAGAACTTGATTGCTTTTGGGAAAGTACAATGAAAACTCAAAATATCAGATGCTTTTCTGTAAGTTACTAATAGTTCCAATCATCAAGCTAAGTCATTTACTACCAAGTAGTTTTATGCTCAATACAAAAAATAGGAACTATTACAAAATTGTGCATGCAAGTGCTTATGTGTACTTTTCAGGGCAGGAAATCACCAGAATCTTAAAAGAGTGCATGACCCAAAGAAAATAAAAACTAATTTAAGAAAATTAAGTTTAGTTCTTTTTTAATTTACATGTCTAAAACAACCGTGAGTGCCTCAGGTATTTGGTGCAAATTCAAAAATATAAACTATATTCAAAATTCAGTAAATTCATTAAAATAAAATTATTTTGGTGCCACTTTGAAAGCAGACAGGATGTGACTTTGGTTTAGCATTTCATCTGTTACTACCATATGGCATTATCATGTTATTTCTAACCTATGTCCTCACAATATAATTGAATACTTAATAAAACTGCCTCAAATGTCTCAGAAGAACAAAATATTAATTAAATTAAATGTAATGATTCATGGCTTGAATAGTAACTCAGATAACAGTTTTAAATAATCAGTGGTTTATTCACTGTATACAGAAACTACTGAACTCTGGTCTTTTTTTTTTTTAAAGAATTAAGACTTATAAATTACAGATTATTACTTAAACTTGTCCGAAGTCCCTCCAAAGTATGGCTTACTGAAGACATATTTGGTAATTAAATTTCGTCTTAAGTTTTAGTTAGGATGAATGATGGAATACTTTTTCTTTTAAGTAATAAACCCACAATACATTCAATTTTTATTTTGCCTATCTCTGTAACAACAGTTTTATGAAATATTAAAACCACAATATTTTCAATAAGGCCCGAATGTATAACTCTACAAGTGTATAAAGATAAATTCAAGAATATTTGCTGCACTTAAACAACAAGAAAATGAAAACATAACATTGCTCTATAGGAGACTGATAATAAATTATGGTATTTACACAATGGAAAGTTTATGGTCATTAAAAAGAATGAAATTTTAAATATGCAAATATGGAATAATCTCCCCAAATATGTATTAAAATGAAAAAAGTGTGTTGCATATTCCTGTGAGAATGTGTAAGGAGGTACGTATAAAGGTGTATGTCACGGTAAGGAAGTCAGGCACACACAGACAGAAAACTTCTAGAAATACAGGGAAAAACTCATCTGGCACGGCTTCTAGGGAAGACTGTAGGGCCTGATCCAGAAAGAAAACACACCGTGCACTGAATTTTATACTGCATGTATGTTCTCACCTAAAAAACACCAAAAATACCAATTTCTCTGTGCTGGGCAAGAAATTACAGTATGCACAAAAATGAAATGAATGCTAAAAGCAAAACACATGATAAGTGTTTTATTCTTTTTAAATAACACTAGAAAAGTGAAGTGAATATACAAGTACCTGTCATTAGTAAATTATAAGCTTCTTGTTTGGAAATTTTCCCATGGAACCATCTTAAAAAGAGAATAAAATACGTAAATCAAAAAGTCTTTTTTGCTGTTAACTAAATCAAGACTAAATAACTAACACCATACAGTTAAGTTTAATTCAAGCTGACATAATGAAATAAATGTAATGCAATTGATCAGATGACCTCATTCCTTTGACATTACTATACTTTGTAAACATCTATAAGTTCAACAAAATACATAAAAATTATGGGCCGTCTAGTATGAAGTACAATTTCCATATTAATTACCAATACAAAAACCAGCATTTATTTTAATTCTGATTACGACAGATTATTATCATGCTCGTATTCTTTTTCTTCCTTTCATTAGGAGTGGGGTGTGGTACAGGTAGAGCCCAGCAAAACTGCCAGAAGATTAGTCCATTCGTTTCCTCACATCCTCCCAGAGTGAATTTCCCTGAAAGCTCTCCCTTTTTAGTCAACGGGCTGGACTGCCACTTTACGGAAAGCCAGAAAATAAGATTGAGTGATGAGAAAGAGTAGATATCTGTTTGAACTAATGGCTTATCATATCAGATTGCTAGAGTATTTTATATTCTGATACTTAAGACTTTAGAAAATGTTATAAAAGGCATTATAGCCAAAATCTACTGCATATAATAACTCAAGTATTTAAATAAGTTACCTCAAAATAAAATGATATATCTGGGTTTAAAAAATTAATTACTAGTAATTAAATTACATAAAATCTCTCATGTACCTGAAGGACTATTATCTGTCTTGCCAATTAACACATGTATGTTAATACCAAGCTGACAATATATTCTCAGGGTCTACAATTATTTTTAACCATGACTGAAAAGAACAAGTTGGAAGTAAAATACCATAAAATTAAGACATATAAATGCCCTAAAATCCAATGTTATAAGTGTAGAGGCTGTTCACCACTGTTTTATATTATCAACATTATTATTGGTCAGAGTATTAAAAAAAACTGGATTTTTATCTTTTCACATGAATAAAATGTTAAACATTTCAATTCTCTTTTTAATTTTATTCTAACAATTAACTCGCTAATTCAGATTCCCTGAAGCTTCCAATGCTAAATATGAATATTGTAAAACAAGTATACAATATCTGGAGAAGTCCAGGTTGCCCTAAAAGGCAGTAAAGTTTCATATTGCATTCAAGTATGGCCGAAATGACCATTTATTCCAATGCCAGAGCAAGATTTCCGTACTCTAGGGGACAGCTGATTAGATGACCTCGAAGGCCTATCCTACTCCTACAGCTAGAATAAAAGAGAAAAGGGGAATATAAAGGCGGAGGTGGGATGGGGTGGTGGGCAACAAATGGCGTTTATACAACAAATCGGTAATACCGCTTTCTGAAAGGATTAGATCAGAGTTTCCTCACTCAGGGATTTACTACCTATATGTAAAATGAGTCTATTAAGCACATGGTTTGTACCAATAACAGAAAAATGGGTCTGTGACCTTAGGGAAGAACTCATTTTAGTGAGAAAAAGGAACATAAATATTGTATAACTATAAACAGAATGTAGAAAATATAATAAAGCACTGTGATAGGTACATGCTGAGGGAATTTTTGGAATAACAGAGCACCAATTCTATAGGGTGTACAAGGGAGAAGATAACAGAAGACTTGCTGGCAAGAGTGATAAATGAGTTAAGTCTCTGAGTAAGAACAGGCATACATACATGACCACTGGAAAAACCATAGGCTTGACTAGACAGACCTTTGTTGACAAAGTAATGTCTCTGCTTTTTAATATGCTGTCTAGGTTGGTCATAACTTTCCTTCCAAGGAGTAAGCGTCTTTTAATTTCATGGCTGCAGTCA